TATACTTCAATGTCATTATAAGATCAATAAACCATATTGCATTGGAGAGTACATAATTTGCTCAAATTAACAAGTTATATATAACAGAATCGATGTATTTGATCAACATTGATTTTTTCTTGAGAAAATCTTTAATTGATTATATTGATCAATATAATAAATATATACTTTTTATCTTCTTAATCTGGATATCATTCAATGACAGATATTTTCAAGTATTTTATATTCTTTACGAAAAAACAACAATCTTGCAGCGTATATTTGCTTAAAAGATAATATACGAAGATAATGTTATAGATTAATATTAGTACTAAGTACTATTATATATTAAATCAACATTTATTTATTGTATTATAAAAAATAAAAAAATACATGAAAAAAAATGGTTTGATTTCACGTTCGATTTAAATAGAGATTACTTGATCGAATGAGTTATGTCAGTTGAACACAAAAAGAAAATGATTTCTCTTATTGTTATATTTCTCATGTTTTCTTTGAGTGATGAATGGATGTGTGATTTTGATCATGGACAAATATGTCTTAAAGGTCTTCCATCAGCTTCATTTGTTTTATTAAATGAAACAAGTCAACAAATAAGACAACCTGCTTCTGATGTTACGTCTATTCGTAAGAAATAAAATATTATTTATTGAATTCAAATTCATAGTATTTTGTAGTTACATCGAGTGATCAAGGAAAATGCTTTTTTCCTTACAAAATTAATTCATTTGATATGTTTTTCTGTTTAAAAACTAATCCGAATCTTCCAGCAACATGTTCTATTGAACATGAAAATGGTCCGAAAATAAATTGTAGTGAAGGTATTTTCAAAAATATAAAATCTTTCATATTTATAGTTTTGTTATATTAATCTAGGCGAATATGGATATGAAAAATTTGAAGAAAATCAAATAGGATCTCGTTCATATGAATTAGAATCACTTCCAATTTTATCAATCGGTCATCATTGTATACGATTATTTTATTATTTTTCGGATGGAAATTCAAATGCAACTATTCGAATTATCTTAGAAGATTCCCAAACACATCAAAACCGAACTATTATCACAGTTTCATCACATGTAGCTAACAAATGGCATGAAATTAGACAAAATTTTCAAATATTTAATTCAATTTCCAATGTAAATTTTACTTTTCTTTTAATAATTTATTAGACAATTACTTTAGATGTTTTTTCTATTCGAACGTGGCTCTTCAAATGCAGAGTCATTTTATATTGCCATTGATGAAATAACTCTTATTGATCTTTATTGTGGTATCAATAATTCACACATACGTTCATTATACTCTTATTTTATTTATTTTGTTTTTTTACTTAGAATCCATCAGTACAATAACAACAACAACAATAACAACGACACCACCACCACCACCAACAACAATAACAACGACACCACCACCACCACCAACAACAATAACAACGA